ATTAAATCTAGATCCCAAGAGAATTAGCAGAGTTTCTGGATTAAAAATCTCATGATGATGATACCACTAGGTCATCCCTTTCCATCTCTTGAACTCCTCTTGTCAGCTGTTACAATGGCTTGTGTAGCATCTACCTCCTTGGTAAAGATAGATGTGAAGAATTCAGTTAGCACATCAGCCATGCCTCTTGACTCCATGTGTAAATGCCCTTTTTGGTTCCTAATTGGCTCTAATGCTCGTTTACCATTATATAAGACTTCGGAAGATTCCTTTTGTCATCTCTCTTCACTTCTCCAATGTGCCTTTTCAGCTTCCCTCTGAGCCTCTTTATTGCTCTTGGCTCTCAATTGTATTTTCTACCTGCCACCTGTCACAAGTTCACTTTTTTCATCTTGATCTCTATTTCTTTTGTCATGCAGGGATCTCGGATTTGTTTGTTCTACCTTTCCATTTTGAGAGAACATAATGACTGTGCCCGACTCATCTCCTCTTTGAAAGTAATCCATTGTTCAATTACTGCTTTTCTCACCAATCTTTGGTTACAGTCTAATATAATAAAACAAAGAAGTCTGAATGCTGGAAATCTGAAACCAAACCAGAAATTGCTGGGAAACTCCACAGGTCTGGCAGCATCTGTGGAGAGAAAGCAGAGTTAATATTTTAAGTCTGTTGATCCATCATCAGGACTGAGTTCGCTAAAGGCCTATTTATGCTGATGGGGTGCTGTGCAAAAGTATTGGAGTGGATAGGTGGAGACAGAGCCTAAAAAGATAAAGTAAGTTGGGCTGGGAATACTAAGCTAGGGCAAGAGAAAAACTAATAATCGGACAGTGATAAGGTGAAAAGATTTGGCTGTGCTGAAAGCATCCCATGTTGTAACAGCCTCGTGAGGGATTGTTAAAGTTCATGGAAGGGTGTGAACAGGCTCAAAAATTATTGAGTGGAGCTGGAGGAACACAGCAGGCCAGGCAACATCAGAGGAGCAGGAAAGCTGACGTTTTGGGTCTGGACCCTTCAGACATTCTGAACACACTGTGTTATCACTGACTCCAACATTGGCCGTTCTTACTATGTCTAAAATTATTGAACTCTATTTTGAGTCCTCAAGGCTATGGATCCCCAACTGGAAGATAAGATGCTTTGCTTCCAGTCTGTTTTGGCCTAGCTGTATTCGTGCCTTATTGAAGTTTGCTCATTACCAGTTGATTATTTATAATCTGAATTGAAACGATATCATTGTCCACCAATATCTTAAACTTTGGGATACAGTAATCACTGTCTCCTGAATGTTCCCCCACTGACACTTGGATCTATTTGGCCCATCTGATTTCCAAGAACCAGGCTAAATAATGCATCCTTTTTAGTTGGCCTTGCCACATACTACTGTCGGAAATTTTCCTGAACACAGTCTATGAATATTTGGTCTTTTTGTCCTTAATGCTCATACTGTACCAGTTTACATTTTAATCATTAAAATCCTCAATTGTAACCACTCCATAATGTTGACATCTTCTAATTTCTCTGCAGATTTGATCCTCTACATCCTTCCTACTAGTTGGTGGTTTATAGACTACGATGACTAGTGTAATTACACTCTGTTTAATTCCTTTGCTCTGACCTTGAACCTTTTAGGATATTCTCTTGCTCCTCAGGTACTGCAATACTCTCCTTAACCAGTACTACTATCCCTTCTTTCCTTCCTCTCCATTGCTGAACACCTTTATACCCGAGGATATTTAACACTCAGTCCTGTCCTTCCTTGAGCCTGGTCTGTTATTGCCACAGCATACTTGCATACGGCAATCTGCCTGAAACTCGTCCAATCTTAATTGCTATCTTTTGCATTTACATACATCAAGTACAGTAATCTTGATTTGGATTTAATTACTTTTGTCTTTGTCCAACTTTGACTATTCACTTTCTATTCTTTAAGCTAGGGCTATCCATTTCTCCAGGTATTTTGTACACCTTGGTATTTTTATCTAATATTCTGTTTGTTCCATCGCTCTGCTGAGTTGGTTTGAAATCCTCTCAACAGCATGAGCAAAAACCTTAGTCCCAGCTCTGTTCCATGTAACCTGTCCAGCTTGTACAGATGCCATCTTCTTCAGAGTCTGTCCCAGGAAATTAAAACGCCTGCTCTGCCTTAGCAATGCCTCCATTACCTTGTCTGTCTACTTATTTCTTTACTTATTTGCATATGGCACTGGGAGTAATTTGGAGATTACTACATTTCAGATCCTGCTTGCTAATTTACTACAGATAGTTCTGCTATAACATGTTTTGTTAACGTGAATTGGCTGTAACACGATTGAATAGTGGATGCTGTTTGGATAACGTACACTTTCTGTAGTGCAGATGTAGCGACTTTATTTATTTTATTTATTTATTTAATTTTTTCAAATTTTTTTTATTTTTTTTTTCCCCATGGCAATTTTCTGTAGGGTGAAGTTGCGAGAATGCAACTGTCGTGTTACAGGAGAACTACCTGTACCTAGCTTCCAAAACTTTTGATTTTGTGACCACATCTCCTCTCTCCCCCAAATTGTTGGTCTACATTGTTCCAATGAAGTCTGACAGATTATAAATTAGAAGTTTTGATAAGTCAGATATTAAAAATCATTTCAGGTGTTAGAACTTCACAAAGATCACTGTCTAATCATAGTTTCCTTGGTTAGCTGAGCTCAGTAGATTTCCTTCTTGCAGGCAAAGTGTAGGCTTTCCAGACAGCGATTCCTAGACTAAGATGGAGTGTCCAAGACAGCCAGCTGACTTAGACTGCTTTCCTTCTGCTGATCAAACTGATTGCCAGAATTGTATAGTTAAGCAATTCAATAAACACTCTTTTCAGTCATGTGATGAAGACAGACATTTCCGATGCTGAGGGCACATTTTGGTGTGCTAATTGGAAGGTTGTTAAAAGTCCAAAGATGTGCAAGCTAGATGGATTGGCCATGCTAAATTGCCCGTAGTGTTTAGGGGGATGGGTCTGGGTGGGATGCTCCAAGGGTCGGTGTGGACTTGTTGGGCCGAAGGGCCTGTTTCCCACACTGGAGGGATTCTATTCTATTCTATCAGTGTAGCTTTACTTCTCCTATTGGTTTCCGATGTGAGGTGGGCTCTTGTTTGTGCTTCTATTTGATATACCTCTGCAAGTACATGATGGAACAAGGGCTGATTTGGAATGATGTGTTGTCCAGGGAGCTATGTTGTTCAATCAGTGAAACTGACTGCCCAAAAATGTGTAAATATTTAAAGTCTGTACAACAAATTAGCGGACTTTATATCCTGTGGTTGCATTGCTTTTGTTTACTTTGTTTTGTTGTTCTCTCTTAAGTGACCATACTTAGATTTTAATACAAATACAAGTACCAGTCTGTTGAAGAATTGAGTTGGTACATTTGTCATGCTGACTGCCCAAAATTCAGTTTGCTCCTGCAACTGTCATATACCACTGTCAGTACATTCAGTGCAAGCAAGTTTTCAGTTTACCATAAATGTTTTTGTATGCAGAAAAGAACAATCTGTAATTGAATTGTTAATTTTTTTTGTGGTTCAGAAATAGCAAAAGATAAGATCAATTGTGTATAATAATTTGCAGAGGACATTTCTTGGGGTTACAGCTATTCCAGTGAAAAGAGCTCCACTGAATTTGGGATGTACTTGACACAATGTGTGTATGCTGACAATATTTCACTCTGATTCAAAGTTAAACTAAGGAAAGATTGGTTTCAGTACTGCCTTTCACTATCTGCTTTTGAGAGAGTAACTATTATATTTGGCAATGTGTATTATTATAATTCTAGTGGATAGTATTTTTTTCGGGTTGATTATTGCTGTTCCATTTGTACACCTTTTAGAGACCATGAATGAACAATGTTGTTCACTTCAAGAAGAAGGATATTGAGGCAAGAAACGAAGTACTGTGAATTCAGGAAATCTAAAGTAAAAGAAAATGCTGTAGAATTGTAAATACTCGGCAAGTCAAGTGTGAGCATATATGGTGGGAGGAGCCACTAATGCTTCAAGTTGTCCTTCTGTCAGAACTGTGAAAAGTTACAAATGTAACAGGTTTCATGCGATTACAGATGCTGGCTAAGGTGGAGAGGGAGGAAAGAACAAAATCAAAGGCCTTTTAATAGGTTGGAAGATTGAAGTAACAAATGATAAGTGATGGTGTGGGCAATGTATGGTGTTAATGAAAAAAGTGAACAAATAAAAGATGAGTCTAGAAGAACTGTAAATAACAACAAACATGACCAGTATCTTTTGGTTATAAAGTTCATAATTTGAAATTGTTGAATTCTGTGTCAACTTTCCTGACAAGATCATGAGGTAGATTCTTAAGCGTTGTTGAAGTTTAGTCTAAGTGTCGAAGGTTGAGGACAGAGTGACAATTAAACTGACAGATGACTGGAAACTCTGTGCATGCTTATGGCCTGAATGGAGTTCAGCAAAGTAATCACCCATTGTGTATTGTCTTAACATTTGTAGAGAGCTTTAAGGCATTGGACAGGTGAAAATTACAATTTGCTGGAATTTTACCTGAGGCAAATATTCTCAATATTTTAGTTGTCAGCACTGTTTACACTTTATAGCAGGTGTGGCAGGGCAGATAAGATCCAGCTCTTTACCATGATTGAAAGGTCTAGAACAAACCAGCATACAGAGAATCAAGATGCAGACAAAATAAACTTTAAGGAGATGGTGAACAATACAATGGAGTACAATACTCAAGTTGAAGCAGAGGTGATGTCAACATTTAAGACTGGTGATTGAAGACGGAGTCCACAGAGATATGAAACAAGGTGGGCTCATGGGCTTAATGTTGATGTGTTATATAAAGCAAACATAAATTGACAGTTTCTATTTTTCAAAATCTGTCATTCTTTATAATATACTTCAGAATTGAGCATAAATATGATCTTGTTATTAAAGACTACTGTGTTTGTGTTTGAAGCGTGCAAATACTGCAATGTTTTGAAACTTTTATGTTTTAGGTTGGCCAACTCTTGCAGCAGTTGGCAATGACCGGCAGTGAGGAAGCAGATCCACGGCTGAAGAATAGCCTCTCCAAATTTGACAAAGTAAGTGAATTGGCATTCTACTGAGAAAGTAATTAAACGTTGTAAAATTGACCAGGGAGTGTAACCTCAAGGCTTTATACCCCTTTTTTCATGTGCTTGTCAGTGATTTCGAATTCAACGGTAAGTTTGGCTGTAAGATCTGTTTTGTTTTGCCTAAAGTGGTTCCTGTGCAAATTTCAGCATTGTATGTGAAACACTGTATTCATGTAAGCATGATTTTTTGAGGGGGGGGTGGTGCGCGGGGGAAAGGAAGGAATTTTAATATTTGAATCCTGTTTGCTAAATTAATGCTTACAAGAAGCTTTGCAAAGAAGGTATGTATATTTGAGCTACGGATGGGATAAATCATCCTGGACCCTAGCCTTAATGATGTTTGCACCTGAAAAATATACCTGTGGATTTTAGATGGAGTGAATTTCAGCCTTTTCCACCTTCATTAAATAAGTTTCCTTACACTGTTATGATCCCAGCTAGAGGACAAGTCAAATCCTAACCTGAAATGTGGCTTGGTAGATCACTTATTAAAAATTTAATAATATGATCTTTCACTGAAACACAAGCATGCAGTGCTGTAGATTCCATTTTAACAATAAAACTGAAGTTTATTATTCAAAAATAACGAAGGTAAACTGAAAAAATTACTTGTAGTTTTAACCACACTGTAAAAGGATAATCTCTTTAATACCTAAACACTCCCTTACAAGTTATAAAAAAAAATGCTTGTGCAGTACCCAAAAGTAACCCCCATACAGTACTTTTTCAAATAATCCTATTCTCCAACATTTTTAACTTGTAGACTGAAACCTCTGATATCTTATTCCTGGAGTTATTATAAATTTTTCTGTATTTAAGTGAGCTTGGCTTACAGTACTCTTCACTTCTGGTCTGGGGCTATCATTTAACTCTCAGGTAATCTTGTTACACTATATTCTCCCCTTCTTAGAAGCACTGCTCTTTATATGAATCTCCAGGCAACGTCTTCATAGAACTATCCAAACAAAGAAAAACTGAAACAGGACTCCCTGTAAGCCGTGGTGATTCGTTTGAATTCAATGTTTTAAAAAAAAACAATAATTCTGGCAACCCTTTAAAGCAGAATAATTCACCCTAAGTCGTAAGATCCTAAAGTAAATATAAAGTCATTAAGCTGCCAAAATAGCCCCCTCAAACTGTTTAAGTATATCACCACAGCTCCAGAAATACTTATGTTAATTATCAACATAAAACACAAAAATCCTATAAAGTGTATGTATAATAAGTGTGCTTATTTAAAGTCTGACTTTAAGAAACTGAAGTCTTAAGTATTTTCATGGTTAATGAATGATTATAGAAGCATTGTGTATGTTTCTTGGTAAGATCTGTAAGAATGCTTTTTTTTTGATATTAGAATGGCATAATTTAGACATTGTTATTTTGCCATTTTGTTTCTGGATTTGTATCTAGTCAAGAATGATCAGATCCAAGTCTTCTCAGTTTGTTGGCTGCCCAGGTCTTGTGTAAGATTAGTTTGTTTAATTTAAATCTGATTTTTTTAAATAGGCTGCAGCACAAAACTACCTTTTTAATAAATTTAGCTAATGGCAACCCATTTACACTGTGAAATAGTGCATTCTCTGTGGGAAGGAGATGTGTTAATTTGGAGGGACCAGACTTCCTGGAGCAACATTGGGTACGAACGTCATGGGCAGGCCATTGAGCACATCAAGTCTGCAGTTCAGTTAGACCTTACGTAATCATTCAACCTCAGTGGTACTTTCCCCACTTATCTTTATATTAGTCTCCAGAATTCTGTAGTCTCAAGAATTCTATTGATTTCTGTCTTGCCCATGCTCAATGGTTGAGCTTCCACCGACCTCTAGCAGAGAGAGAGTTTCAAAGATGCGCAGTCCTCTTGAGTGAAGAAATTCCTCCTTACGTAAAGGGAGGTGATGGCCTAGTGATGGTGTTACTAGACTATTAATCCAGAAGAATGGTAATGTTCTCACGACCCTGGTTTGAATTCCATTATGGCAAAAGGTGGAATTCAAAATCCGTAAACTTCTGGAATTAAGACTTAAATGATGGCCCTGATGAAATCATTGTTGAATGTTGGGAAAGCCCACCTAATTCACTAATATCCTTTAGGGAGGTAGACTGCTGTCCCTACCTAGTCTAGCCTATTGATGTGGTTAACTCTTAACTGCCCTCTGAAATGGCCTAGCAAGTCACTAAGTTGTGAAAAAAAGGAAATGAAACTATCTGGCTTCCACCTGATGGACTATCTGAAATCTAGGCACTGGAAATGACAATGGCAAACATAGCCTTGTCAACCCTGTAAAGCCCACATTACTTTTGGGGGCTAGTACCAAAATTGGGATAGTTGTCTCTCAGGCTAGTTGAGCATCAACCTGACATAGTCATAATCAATGAATCATACCTTAGAGACAATGTCCCAGACACTGCCTTCTTCATCCACGGGATATGTCGTGTCCCACTGAAGGACATGGAGTAGCTAAGCAGCAGCACAATGGATTGAACTGGTCATGTCCTAAAGAACGTTGGTGCAGATCCAGTCCAGCAGCAGGTAGTGAGGGAACCAATGAGAGGGGGAAAAAAAAAACAGATTTTACTAACTACTCACCAGTGTTATATCTGTCCAAAGCATTAGTAAGAGTGACCACCCCACAGTCCTTGTGGAGATGAAGTTCCATCTTCACATTGAGAGCACCCTAGTTCGTGTTATGTGGCACTATCATTCCACTAAATGTGATAAACTTGAAACAGATGGATGCCCTATCTAGAGTTGCTCTATGAGGCAGTATGCACTATTGACAGGAGCAGAATCGTACTCCAACACAATTTACAACCTCATGGCCTGGCATATCTCCCACTCTCCCATTACCATCATGAACAGTGAATCATGAACAGGAGTAGACCATTCAGCACCTTTTAGCCTGTTTGCCATTCAGTGAGATCATGGCTGGTCTGCGGTCTAACTCCATATCCCTGTCCTTTGGCCTATTCCCTTTACTTAACAGAACTTTAACTATAACACATTTAAAATACACAACTGGTTGATTGCAGGAGGGCATGCTATAAGCAGCACTAAGCACACCTAAAAATGAAGTGCCAACCTGATAAAGTTACTAAACAGGACTACTTGTGTGCCAAACAGCGTAATCAAGTAGTGGACAGAGCTAAGCAATCCCAAACAAATTGGTCAGATCTAAGCTGTGCAGTCCTGCCACATCCAGTTGAGTGATGGTGGACAAGTAAATAACTCACTGGGGAAGAAGTGTCCACAAACAACCCCATCCTTAATTATGGGGGAGCCCATCATATCAGTGCAAAAGATAAGGCTGAAGTATTTGCAACCATCTTCAGCTAGAAATCGAGTGGATGATCTTGCATGGCAATAATCGGTTCACTGATGCACAGTTTGGGTTCTGCCATCGCCATTCAGGTCCTTGGCCCATTATAGCCTTGGTTCAAACATGGGGGAAAAAGGAGCTGAATTCCAAAGGTGAAGTGAAGGTTGCTGTCCTTGACATCAAGGCCTCATTTGACCAAGGGTGGTGATAAGAAATCCTAGCATACCTAGAGTCTTCGGGAATCAGGGGAAACCCTGCTGTTTGGAGCCCTACCTGGCACAAAGGAAGATGGTTGTGTTGTTGGGGGGCAATCATCTCACTACAGGATATCTCTCCAGAAGTTCCCCACGGTAGTGTCCAAGGCCCAACCACCTTCAATTGCTTCATCAATAAACGTCCCTTCATAAAGAGAGAAGTGGGTATTGTGCCATCATTTGCAAACCTGTTCAGTACCAATCAGGATGACTCAGATACTGAAGCAGCCCATGTCCAAACGTAGCAAGACACTGATAATATCCAGGCTTGAGGTGAAAACTGGCAAGGAGTATTCTTGCCGAATAAATGCCAAATTATGACCTTCTCCAAGAATAGGCAATCTAACCACTGCTCTTGACGTTCAATGGTGTTACCATTCACTCGAAACTGAACACAACTGACCACGAAAATGCGCAGACAACCAGAGCAAGTAGAAGCTAGGAATATTGCAGTGAGTAACTCACCTCCTGACTCCACAATGCTTGTTAACCAGCTACAAGGCACAAGTCAGGAGTGAGATGGCATACTCTGCACCTGCCTGGATATGTTTTGCTCCAGTCATACTCAAGAAGCTTGACGCCATCCAGAACAAAGCATGAGATTGGCACCATATTCACAAACATCACCCCCTCCAGTTCCTACGGCTTAGGAGCAGCAATGTGCGTTCTCTGCAAGATGCACTGCAGGAATTCATCAGAGCTTCTGAGACAGCACATTCCAAAACCCACGGCCACTGCTAATTAGAAGGGCAAGGGCAACAGATACATGGGAACATGACTAGGTTCCTGTTTCCCTCCATGTCAACCTGACTTGGAAATAATATCTCTGTTCTTTGTGTTGCTGGGTCAAAAATCTTGGAACACCCCCCTGAATGGCATTGTCTGTCTACTTGCAGCATGTGGACTGCAACGATTCAAGAAGGCAGCTCCCTACAACCACCTCAAGGGCAACTAAGGGTGAGCAGTAAATGCTAGCCCTGTCATTAATGTCCACAAATTCCTGACTGAATTTAAAAAAAAAAAATCGTGGCCTCCCCTTTTATGCTGAGGTGATGTCTCTTGGTTCTAGATTCACCAGCCAGGGGCAACATCCCATCCATATCCCACTGTCTTATCCTGTAAGAGTTTTCCAAGTTTCATTGTGTCTTATTCTCCTTTTGATTCTCAATCTGTCCTTGTGAGACAGTTCCAGGGATTAATCTGGTAAACAAGTTACTCTCCCTCTTCTGTGTCATTTGTAATATCATCAAAATATACTGTACTTTAAAAATATTGAATGTCAAATTTGAATATTATATCAAGGGCAGACTAAAACACGTGACATTGAGATGTCTCACTACACTTTAAAATTTCAAATCATTTATGGAAATGTTCATGTCCCACGTTCTGTCACCAGTTATTGTGTCTTAACTACTTAATTTTGTCTAGAAGCAGTTATGCTGACTCAACTTCACAGCACACTAAAGTGTGCTAATTGCAAGAACAAAATAGTAAATAACATCTTGTTAAGATGCGCTGATATGAAAAGAGCCTATTGTGACCAACTTCACAATGTAAATTTTCAGCTGAGAATCCCAAATTGAAATCTATAAGGCTATACTGGTGACTCCCTTATTGGAGATTGACCTAATCAGAGCAAAAATATTTCACTTGATACAGCCTTTTAGTCAAAAATTTTAAATGATCCAGATCTCAAAGCTGCCCATTTGTTGATTATCATAAATGCATTATTTAGCTGAAACAGCTGTAATAGAGTAATAGTCTGCACTTCAGAACAATTAGCAAGGCTAAACATCATGTGAGACTCCTCTAACTTAAATCCTGAATTGTAACAATTCCTTCTGCTGCCTGAAAGTTGAAGGCAATACGTTACAAATCAACTTTGCCCCTCTGAGGCAGTCTTTAACGATGTTCTGTTCCAAAGTCATTCAGCCATCATTGCTACCATTTTTGCCAGCCATTGTCAATAGTGGTCAATTGTCTTTCAAGTGGCTGCTTTAAGGAGTGGTGATACCATTTTCATTAAAATGCAGTTTTTATTTCGGAGACATCTTTGTGACATATGAGAAAGTAATATATTTTACTTGAAACTTTTACAGAGTTGTGTTGCAGCTTTCTTGGATGTTATCATTGGAGGTCGCACAGTGGAGACTCCTCCTATGTCCTCGGTGAATCTGCTGGAGGGACTTAGTAGGACTGTTATCTACATGACACACAACCAGCTTTTAAACTTGGTAAGCGTACGTGCTTTGCTTTTTTTTGACTTACTACAGACCAGATTATGATGGTGGTATGGAATGTAACACTTATCCATTCAATCACGGGCACATAGGATTACAAAAGGGGTAGCATGCACTTAGATTTTGAAGAGTCCAGCAAGTCACTTTTACTCATCATTTTTTGAGATATCAGCTGGAAACAATGCAGGCCTGATGATTTTCTTTTGGTTCAGTGACAGTGATAGAGGTTGCAGTCTTCTGTCAAGGAATTGACTAGCTTACTCCTGGCAACAACAAATTTCTGGCTTGTTTCAGCCAAACAGTAGTGGAAGTGAGACCCACTTTCTCTGCCTGTTTAAACAATGCTAGGAATGGTCCTTTCTTTTGCTGGGCATGATCATTTGTCTCTGCCTCCCTCTCATATACTGACTGACTGACCCAGGCTGCTGCTTGAGAGATTCACAAAGGTGTAGGTCTTTGTATAAGCTGGTTTCTGTCACGTGACTGAAGAACTGGTGTTCCCAATGTCCACATAAATGATTCCTGACTCCATTCGCATTAAAACACAATGGGGGTTTGAATCTCAAATATTTACATCTCCTTGTGGTAGAATGGCGATGTTCATATCCACCTTGTAGAATTTTAGTCTGCAGCCACTAAGTATATATGGTTATTGTCCAAAAACTACCAAAATAGATGTACAATGTTAGCCTTTAAGTGTTTAGAAGAGATCTGTTGCATTTTTAAAGTCTTCACAAAGGAATGTCAAAAAAGTTGCTTGTATCTTCATGCCCTGACTGAACAAGCAAGCAACTTCCAACCTTGGACAGCTTCATGGATATTTGCAGACAAGGAGTGGGAGAGGTACACGTCTACACTCGGGGCCCCCCCACCCCCCGCAACTCCCCCAACCCGATCTTGTGTGAATTGTATATTTCTCATTCCATCTTTTGAAAGCGAAGTATGTATCTTTTTTCATAAATTTGTAGGACTTACAGCACCATACTTTCGCAGTTGAGTGATGCCTCACTTTTTATTGGTAATTGTTTTTAAAAAAAATCTCATGTTTGTCCCATTGATTTTCCTCAGCTGCTTTAATTCCATTACTGTGCTGAGTTCATGTTAATTGATTCCTTGGTTGGACGACTGAGTTTCTGACTTAAAGATATATTGTTAAATAAAAGACATTCTTGCACATCAAAGATCTGTCAAATTTTGTAATCTTGCATTATTACATCTATATATTTTAAATGTTTCCGTGCATGAATTTTTCATCCTAACATTGCTCTTCTCTAATTTCTGTATTCTTTCCCCTTCCATACTTGTCATGATGCCGTTCAGTTAAGAAGGCAGATGCATGTCATATCTTTTGCTTGCTGGGAGTGCTTACAACTTTACAAGGAGCTAGCAGTGATTGATCTAGGCATGTCTCTTTGCTTGATTTTTTTTTCCATGTGCTGAAGGAATTGCAGTCATTTTAAATGATGACTGGATATAGATTGGATCTGTTGTTTAGCATCTGTTTCTGTTTAATACCTACAAGTGATTTACTGTGACCAACGTACTTGTTACTGCGAACCTCCCTCAGTCTTATTTCTGTCACAATAGGAAAACAGTTGCTCAAGTATAGACATTTATTACATCACAGTCTGGACTTGAAAGCTTAAAAATGAATTTGTATTCAGATAAAACTTCCTTCGGTAATCTTTTATTTCTTTTCAGTGCAACCAACATCAAACCTTCTACCGATTGCTGTTTCAAATAAGTTTGTTTGTGCATTGTGCTTTGTTATTGTCATTACTTCAGTGTGCAAGAAATTGAATATAGAATTATAAAGCAGGAGATGAAACTTTAATCTGGCTATTCCAATTGTGTGTAATGGTTTCCACTGCACTATATTAAGAAGTTGGGCATTCAGTTAATTTGAGAGAGGGAATTACAGACAGCTGTAATTAATATTACCACGTTGAAGTTTAGTGACATAGAACAGACAGGAAGTTCAGATAATAGCTTCTAAATCTTTTTAAGAGGATACCTTCATGCTTGCATGTGTGGTGATGCTAAATAAACAGGAATGGAAATTTATGTTGAGAGGGTTAGATGAAAACTTGTGGGAAGAGGCACCAGTTTGGCTGAATAACTTGTTTTTGTGCTGTAGGTTCTAAGTTGTGTTTGTCAACAGTTTTAAGTGTTTGAAAAATTACACATCATCCTCTTAAGGTAAGTTTAGAAGTAAGGGTCAATTGAAAACATGGGAACAGCAATATACAATTTAGCCCGTCAAACCATTCTACTATTCATTAAGGTAATGAACAATCTGTGATCTAAGTCTACCTTTTCTTCACAGCCCTGAATGTTTTTGGTTAATGCAAATCTGTCAGTCTCCGACTTTAAAATCAACAGTTGACCCTGTATCAATGGCTATTTGTGGAACAGAGTTCCAAACATCTGCCACCCTTTTGCATTAATTAGAGGTTGTTTGGTAACTTGCTCCTGAAAAGCCTGTGTATAGTTTTTAACCAATGCTCGCTCTTCCTATGTTTCTCAAGCAGTAGAAATAGTTGTCTGTCTAACCTCTTCCTCTTAATATTGTCGAATGTTTGATCAAATCAATCCATAATCTTCTAGCTTCCAGAGTATGAGGTGATAATCTGTGTAATTTCTCCATATCATTCAAACATGAAGTCCAGGTATCATTCTCGTAAATCTGCTCTGCACTCCTCCAAGACCGGCAGACCCGTCTTAAGATATGGGACTGAATTTTGTACTCCAAGTGTGAGCTCACTAGAGCCCTGTAGTGCTGTAGCATGATTTACAGTTCGTTGTATTCAAGTCCTCCAAATATTTTTATCTTTTGGACATGAGTTTTTAATCTATGCAAGTAGGTTTCTAAATCTCTTTGAACCTCCATTGCTGCTAGCTTTTAGGTTTAGGAAGTTATCTGCTCTGTTTATTAGGTACAAACTTGGTGACATTGCATTTAGCTGCAGTGAGGTCCACATGCCACTGATTTGCCCGTGCATTTAATCACTTGTGTTGTCAGCAGCACAGATACATTTCCACCTGTGCCTCACCGGTCCCCTATTTCATATGATCTTATCCAGACTGTTTGGAGTAATACCAAATCACAGTCGGCACACTCGTGAAGAGCCAATTATCACATGGATGTGACAAGTAAAGTTACAGCTACATCCTGTTGTCATCTTATAGTTGGTAGAAGATGAGCTGTGTTGTTGTCTTTTACCTTTTGATCCCAGTCTGAAAGTGATGTGGCATTAGCCTTAAATAAAAATAAATTTGGCCAAGGTGAAAAGGACAGGAAAAAGATCTTTCCTGTAAACTTGGCAATCTTTGTAATCTTTTCTCAATCAGCAACAATCACTGAAGCTTAATTCAATTTGGTGACTCTTCATAGGCTTGCAATAAATGTAAGATATTTTTTATTAATTAAACTTATTTTCGTTTAGGTTAATTTTGCACGGCATGTAACATCAAGGGACCTGCTAAGAGAAGAGGACAAGATGGCTCTGGAGAACCTTATTATTAATCTTCCTCAACCCAGAACAGGGAAGAGCAATAGCCTTGAGCTGACTCCCTCCAGCACACCCCAGCTATCTCCTGCAACTACTCCAGCTAACAAAAAAAATCGACTTCAAATAGGTAGGAGCTACAGCTGCTTTACTTATGAGGCGTGCAACAGTAATTCTGCAATGCAGTATGTTGAACGTTGTTTAGAGATATCAATTAAGTATTTTGGATATTTATATTTGTACTTTGTTCCAGAATTTTGCAGCATATTTAATTTTTGCGAGTAATATTGAAAGTGTTGATTATGAAAGTGAAATGAACGTCAAGTTCCTCATGAGTTGGAGACTAAGACTAAAACTGAAGAGGATGCAGTGGAGAATTATCAAGATGTTGCCAAAAATTTTCTATTATTACTATGGGGAAAGATAAGATGGACTTGTCTTGTTTCCTTTGGAACAGGGTAGCCCAAGGGGTGAACAGTGTAAAATGAGGGGCCTAAATAAAGTGGATAGGGAGGACCCAAAACACTCAACAGGGATCAATAACCAAGGGACGTATCTTTCAAGTGATTTAAAAAAGATTATGGTGAAATGAATAATCTTTTTAGATAAAGAAAAGTCCAGAACTCGGTGCCCGAAATGTGGCAGTGGTAGAATGCCTCAGTTTAAAAAAAAACACTTGTGTATGACACTTCAAGTGCATACCCACAAGGTTATTGATCAGGAATTTGAAGATTGGATTGAATTGGGTATCTTTTTCTTCATCATTCGATTTTATAATAGTTCAAAAGGCTGACTCTTGCGCCCTGTGGTTTTGTCTTTTTTCCAGTTATGCAATAGGACACAATGTACTTAACTGGAGGCTGCTTTGGAATTTCTGTATCAATCCCTCCAAACATAGGTCTTGTTTGTGTTTTGTTCTTGATCCATAAATGCAACATATATTTGAAACCTCCATTTATAATTAGATTTTTGCAATTGAGAAAAATTGCAAAGGTCTACTTAAATTGAGATTTCAAATTTATGATTATTCTTTTGGTACCATTTTCTTGTGTAGTGTTACCATACAATGTGGTGAATATTGACTTGGCTTGTAAATGGCACGTTAAACAAATCTGTGTTCTCACTTGTTTGCTACAATGTACGTGTTTTATTTTTAAAGCTGGAGGACGTGCTCATCTGAGCTGTGTGTAACATGTCCATCATTAAGAAATGCATAAGTATTGCTGCCTGACAAATATGAATCCATTCTATATTCATCTTAAGATGTTTGGGAGCGAGCAAGTTGATGCCTTTTGGAGCATTTTCAAGTTGTAATGCTTGTTACAGGCTGCCATGGACTGTATATGATTGTTTCCATCAGTAAATCGCTTAACATACATTCCTCTCCCCAAAAGTAAATTTATTTGCTTATCTTGCCCATGGAGACACCTCTAATAATGGAGCACCATCTATTTTAGTAGACGTGTTTATAAACAAGATTTCTTGGTCACTTGCGTTTTTTAAATAATAGCTGCTTTCTGTTAAAATTTCTACGCTCCTTTTGATGACTCCGACTTGTACTAGGGTGTGATTTCACAGTTGCTATTCAATTCCTCAGCAAAATGGCTATATATCATGTGTCAGCTAAGGGAGCCTAGATTGTTGACAGGCTCATTCTTTTTGACAGAACATCCCAGCTAAACTTGATTTCTCCTATCCCTTTTTTAATAAATTCTCGGGACGTGACTGGCACTGGGAAGGTTAGCATTTGCTGTCCCCCTCTCTCATTCACCTGATGACTACTTCAGATAACAGAAGTAATCAAATTTGTGTGTGATTGGTGACTTTATGAAGGCAGGTAGGGATGGTGGGTTAATTTTAACAGGTTTGGTTCCACCACTTAACCACATTTCTCTTAATGATTTCAAATTCTCAAAATAGCAGGATTTTTATTTTGCTTGGCAAATAGCCTGAGCCATTTTTAAACTTGTTCTTGGTTGGTTGGTGTACTAATACAATCACCATATGATTGTCCCATTGGTTTCGAGTGAGCTATGAAGAGTAACAAACACAATCTAACTTTCCCATCTGGAGGCATGAAGATCAGGTCAGTCGTGGTAACGCCATTGCTGGCCCGAGCAAAAACAAATGGATCAGGATCAGTCCTATTCTTAAATAAAATCAGAAATTGCTGGAGAAACTCAGCAAGTCTGGCAGAAGCAGAATCAGTGTTTTGAGTCCAGTCACCCTCCTTTAGTTCTATTTTTGTTTTCTTGGTGAATTGATTATTGTTACTTTTTAAAGATTTTATTATAGCAGTTCTGTCTCTCTCATCCCATCATTGTCAACTGAAATTAAAAATATTGATGTGTCTCTTTCGTTTTGCCCTGTTTATAATCCAGTTTTGTGCAGTATGACACAGAACTTTCATGCAACAAAGCATCAGAACTTGGGTGCATTACTTAAAACTGATATAGAAATCTAATGTTTTAGTCTTAGGAACTGCCGATGCTGGAGAATCTGAGATAACAAGGTGTGGAGCTGGATGAACACAGCAGGCCAGGCAGCTCCGCTCCTCCCACCTCAACCCCAACCCTACCTCCTACCTACCAGCCTCATCCTCGTCTCCTTGACCTGTCCGTCTTCCCTGGACTGACCAACCCCCATCCGAACTCCCCACCTACACTCACCTTTTACTGGGTCCATCCCCGCCTCCTTGACCTATCCGTCTCCTCTCCACCTATTTGCTCCTTTATCCATCTTCCATCAGCCTCCCCCTCGCCAGAATTTATTTCAGAATCCCCTTCCCCCTCCCCCATTTCTGAAGAAGGGTCCAGACCCAAAAGGTCAGCTTTCCTGCTCCTCTGATCCTGCTTGTCCTGCTGTGTTCATCCAGCTCTACACCTTATTATCTCTAATGTTTTAGTTTTTTTTTCTGATCATGATACATGAGAAACTGAAATCAATGTGAAGAAAAATAAATTTACATTGTGTGCCTCTTTCAAATGTTCAAAATTTGTGCTTATAGCTTCAACCAACTTTACAACTGAATATTACATGTTTTGTGTATGCTCACAAAATGTGACTGGAAGTAAAACAAACCCAATCCTCTTTTCTGAGATAACAAAGTGCTCCTCTGTTGCTGCTTGGTCTGCTCTGTTCATCCAGCCAGCTCGACACCTTGTTATCTCCAATCCTCTTTTCTTCCTGGAGACATTGTCAGAATTGCATTAACTCATTTGTTGGGAACAAGGAAATTCACTTGATATTCACTTAGTGGAATAAAACTCCTTTCTCATGCTTGTTATACATGCTGAGTTGTTGGCTGAATCCATCATTCACAAATTGCAGCTGATTTTCTAACATTTCTTGCATGAGCAGTGCTTGTTTGTAACTTGAGTGCATCCTGTCAAGTTTGGGAACTGCAATCATAGCTTTTTTTAATAATGTTCATGTGAATAAAAGAAACTTCCTTTTTGGTGTTCTTTGTGGCAAATAGCCTTGTGCTAATTATGTACCATTTTGACATGGATATCCTCATGAATCAATGCAAGTTAGATGTGATGTTGCAGATGAGCCTTCAAATACTGTTGAAGAAAATCATTCAGATTGGGAAATGTTCTGAGTTTTGTCGATTGCGAACAATGACTTTATTATTGATATTTGTTTGCTATTGATTACATTTAGATGAAAAGGTACGTATAAACGTAACTAAGCAGTGACTATGAATTTTAATTGAGGTATTTAACATACATTTGGTTTCCCTTTCTTTTAATGCTGCATATACTCAGGACAACAATTAGCAGCCATTACTGCCTGGGATACTTCAGCTACAAATCTGACTGCTCACATTCCTCTTGTTACTCCATTTGGTGGGTAACTCCTTCATGCATAGAGGATTCCAGAAATGCTAGAATAATGTCAAGAACTCGAACAAATTAAACTACTCTGTTGGAATTGCTAAAGGGCATTTTGAATGTCTTGTATTCTGGTTACTTTTCAATTGTGATTGCTGAATAGAAAACTGGTCTGTTTGTGAATTGCAATGAAAAATAGTGTAAAATATTTTGGCAAAATCTTCTTAGTCAATTCAAATTCCATTAAATGTAGAGATAATTTAAATTGGCAAATCAGGAAATGTTCTGAGTTGATTGCACTGGAGGGGAGTACAAAGGAGATGTGTCAGGACAGGGCATTTCAACTTTGAAGTGAGGCTGGATAAGCTTTGTAGCTAAAGGGACAATAACAAGGGTAGCATAATTTTGAAGTGAAAGGCAGGAGGTTTAGAGGGGATTTGAGGAAAAACATTTTCACCCGGAGGCTGGTGGAAGTTGAGAACGTACTGTTTAGGAGGGTAGTCAAAGAGTCGTACGGCATGGAAACAGACCCTTCAGTCCACCCAGTCCATGCTGACCATAATCTTGAAGTAAGTTAGTCCTATCTGCCTGTATTTGGCCCACATTCCTCCAAACATTTCTTATTTGTGTACTTATCCAAATGTCTTTTAAACATTGTAACTGTACCCACGTCTGTGACTTCCTCTTGAGTCAGGAAACCTCACTATCTTTTTAAAAACTACTTGGATGAGCACTTGAAGTGTCATAACGTTCACGGCTATGGGCCTTTGTGGGAAAGGGGGGACTAATGTAAGAGTTGGTAGTGTATTTTTGGTGGTACAGACTTGATGGGCTGAAGGGCCACTTTCTGCACTGTATGATTCTGTTTCTGTGTTTTGTCTATAACAAACAATGACTTTTTGTTATTGATATTTGTTGGCTATTGATTGCATTTAGATGAAAAAGCAAAGTGTAAACATTATTAAGCAGTGGCTATGAATTTTAATTGAAGTAGTTAACATGCATTTGGTTTCCCTTTTGAAGCTGCATACACTCAGGACAACAATTAACAACCATTTCTGACATTGTTGACATCCATTGACTAAACGTTTTTATTTTGAGGTGTGGCCAAGCTGGCTTTGAAGAAACAAGATGTTTGACTTGGTCCATAAAATTACATATAATATTTCATTTGCATTTAAAGACCAATGTGATTTACTTAAAGTATGGATGTTTTAAGTGTGCTTGGATTAGAAATGTGGATTTGAATAGACGATCCAGTCTTGGGTATTGAAAACTGTTCAGGAATAAACTCCTTCAGCACTATCAAACCCTTAGTTTCTGCCATTGAATTGCAACTTTGTCCCATGCCTATATCTTGAATTTGCACAGCACCAGCAGCAGGACTGTATGCCATCCCAATCTGTAATTTCTCTCCCTTCTCCATTACAGTCAATTCAGATGACCAGACCTCGTTTAGAGTCAGAGTCATAGTCATAAAGCATGGAAGCAGACCCTTCGGCCTAACTTGTCCATACCGACTAGGTTTCCTAAACTGAACTTGTCCCATTTGCCTGTATTTGGCTCATGTCTCTCTAAACCTTTCCTATCCATGTATCTGTCCAAATATCTTTTGAATGTTGAAATTGCACTTGCCTCCTCCACCACCTCTGGCAGCTCATTCCATCTGTGTGGAAATGTTGACCCTCAGGTCCCTTTTTAAATCCTTCCCCTCTCGCTTTAAAACTATGCCCTCTAGTTTTGGACTTCCCTACCCCGGGGAAAAGACTTAGGATGAATAGCCAATCTGTGCCCCTCATGACTTTATAAACCTCTACATGGTCATCCCTTAGCCTTCTACGGTCCAGGGGAAAAAAAAATCCCAGCCTATTCAGCCTCCCCTTAAAACAAACCCTCCAGGCTTGACAACATCCTTTTGTAAATCTTTTTTGCATCCTTTCCACTTTAATAAAAATGCTCCCTATAGCAGGACGACCAGAATTGTATGCAGTACTCCAAATGTGGCTTTAACAATGTCTTGTACAAGTATAACATGACATCCCATTCCTGTACACAATACTGTGACGGATGAAGGCAAGCATGTCAAATGTTGTCTTCACCCTGTCTACCTGTAATGCCACTTTCAAGGAACTATGTATCTGTACCCCGAGTTGTCTGTGTTTGACAGTACTCCCCAGGGCCTTACTGTGTAAGACCTGCCCTGGTTTGTCTTTATAAAATGCAACACCTTTATGGTTATCTAAATTAAACTGCATCTGCCATTCCTCAGCCCACTGGCCCACTTGATCAAGATCCTGTTATATTCTTAGATTGCTGTCCACTATACCACCAATTTTAGTGTCATCTGCAAAGTTACTAACCACACCTCTTATTTTCTCATCCAAATCATTTATATAAATGGCACAACAGTGGACCCAGCCCCGATCCTTGCGGCACATCACGGGTCACAGGCCTACAGTCTGAACAACAGCCCTCTACCACCACCCCCTGTTGCCTACCATCAAACCCAATTTTGTATCCAATCGGCATGCTCTCTCTGGATCCCATGTGATCTAATTATACTAACCACCCTCGTGTTCAAGGAGGATTTCTTGAACGTGGGGCAGAATTGGGCTCCTGAGCTTTTTTTTCTTTCTCTTCCTTTATTTTCCTTTTCCCTTCTCCTTTACCTTGCATACTGTGAGGAACCTGAACAGCAACATCGGTGGTGAATTTCCTGGTGTGGGGGGGGGGGAGCCCAACATGGGGCTGGTAGGGGGCCCTGAGGCAACATTGATGAGGGAGGCCCAGCAGCAAATGATAGCGCCTGAGAATTGGCAACTTTATGGTGGTGAAACAGTGGCGGATGGGCATCACAGCAGCATTGAGGTGAGTTGTGGCGAGAGACTTTGGTGGGCCCAGCGCAGGCGGTGGCAGAGGCGAGTTGGCCCAGCAGCAAAAGATGGCACCTGAGCATCGGCAACTTTGACATGAGTTAGTTCTGGTGTAGGCGGTGGTGGTTCTGAGCTTGCTCAGAACTTGAACATAGATGGACTTTTTCTTTTAAGCTATATCTTTTCATTTTTCTTATTCTTAAACTATTAAAATGGCACTGTATTGTGGTGACAAATGAAAGCTTTTCACTATTTTTATTGTATTTCTCACTGTAAAGTACACATGACAAAATCATTCATTTCGTTCATTCAATCTACCATGATACTTGTGATCCACCTGGATTTGTCAATTTTAGGCTGAGCATGATGAAGTTCTGTTGAATACATCAGAAACCGCTCTCCTCTACCACTACTACCATCACCACCATTCCCTCCCCTGACTCCGTGGCTTTATACACTAATGTTATCCGAGTTGATAGCTATGTAATTGAAGTCCCTTGTATTATTCTTGCAGATGTGGTCTTTGTATCTGCCTATTAGGAAGGCTATAGATTAACCTCAAATAGTGTGACATTTTTCCTCTGAACCATCACTGGATGAACTGTCTTTGCCTCTTTCGGCCTTCTTTCCAACACTGCAATGTCTTGTTCTAGTCTATACTGTCACCCTTCCTTTCTTTCTTCTCTATCATCTCCAAACACTCTGCATTCTTGTATGCCAAGTGTCCAGTGCTCACCATTTTTAAGCTGCGCTTCCATTATAGCCACTACGTTGTATTCCCACATTGCTAATTATGCATGTAGCTCGCAAACATTCACAACGCTATTTACATAAGTATTTTGTAGTCCTGTCTTCGTGTTTCTCGTAGTCTTTTCATAATCTACCCCATCTACTCCCTTCTTTAGTACTAGCCAACACTTTCACTTAATGCACCTTACATTTTTTATGCCTACTTCTGTATGCTGGTCTCCATCTTCCAGCTACGTTAGTTCAAATTCTCCCAGGCGTGCAAGGAAACCTCACCTTGAGTGGGGGAGACTTGTGCACAATGTTGTTGAAAAGACATGGTGTCCTGTCCCTACCTGCAAACCAAAATAATCAGTCGCATCCTTTCTCTCAAAGATGATGCCTCTTTTTATATTGAGTAAATGTTTTTGCTTAGATTTGAATCTCTTCTTGCAATCTTGGAAATTATTATTCAGCCAAGTTTCCCCAAGAGCTGATTGTGAACCATACCTTTGAAGCACCAACGTCTTTGCATTCCATCACTACTAGCCATCTTGCCTATCTATGATGTGCCTAGTTAGGTGATAGTTAGTTATTTTAGGTTTTCATATTTACTTTCTATTGTGTGCAATTTATTTTTTAGTGGAGCTTAGCTCTGTTAAATCATCTGCATTCTTAATAATTTGAGTAAGCTGTGACTTGAGCTGATTGCTTGCTAATTTATTTTGCAGCTGGAAGAAACAGAGGCCGGACGAATGAAGCAAAAGAGCAACACTTCGACCATGAAAGTTCGAGTCAGGAGCCTTTACAAGAAGTCCAGCCTGAAGAAGTGTTGGTCATTTCGCTGGGCATTACCGCTCAGATGTCACCTGGCATGATGTCAGAAAATGAGGTACAATACTTGATTTTAAAAATTAGCTAATAGGATGTGGACATCGCTGGCCAGGCCAGCATTCATTATCCAACACTTATTGCGCTAGAGAAAATGGTAGTGAGCTGCGACCTTGACTTGCTGTAATCGGTGGGTTTTAGCCACATCCACAGTGCTCTTAGGAAAAAAAAGTGGGATTTTGACCTAGCAACTGTGAAGGAACAGTGATATAGTTCCAAGTCAGGTTGGAGAGTAGCTTGCAGGTGGTGGTGTTCCAATGTATTTGCTGCCTTTTCCCTTCTATATGGTTGAGGCCAAGTGTGTGGAAAATGCTCTCTGAGGAGCTTTGAGTTACTGCAGTGATTCTTGCCGATGGAACACATCACTGCCTCTGTTGGTGAAGAGAGTGAATGTTCATGGTAGTGGATGGTGTGCTAGTCAAGTGCGAAGCTTCCTGAGTGGTGATGGAGATGCACCTGACCAGACAAGTGGGGAATACTCCATCAGACTCCTGAATTGTGCTTGTTGGACGACACTGTGGAAACAGGAGGTGTTACATGACATGTAATTCCTAACCTCTGACTTGCATTTGTAGCCACACAATTTATATGGCTGTTCCAGTTCAATTTCTGGTCAATGGCAAAACCCATAATGTCGATAATGGGATATTCAGAATGGTAATGCCATTGAGTGTCATGGGACGATGGTTAGATTCTTTCTTGTTGGAGATGATCATTGCCTGTCACTTATGACTTATCAGCCCAAGCCCGGATGTTATCCGGGTCTTGCTGCATACGGACATGGACTGATTCAACATATGACATGTCCTTAAATAAACTTCACGTTAAACTGAATTTCCTTTTGACGTTGTATCCTTCTAATGTTGAGAGGGAGACTTTGAATTGTGTGGATTAACAGCATTGTATATTGGATGCAAAAATGTAATGGTCAAAAGTTCTGAGAAATATCTTTGACTTCTGAAATTATAGGGAATAAACTTTTTTGACAATATAATTAGTTCTGAGATATCATGGCCTTGGATACTTTTATGCAGCAGATTGCCTCAGGAGCCATTATTGACAAAAGCAGAAAAATAATTATTTTAATATTGTTTTTCCTTACCTGCTTTTTGATTTATTAATATTGTGATGTAAGCTTGTTGAACAGTGACTGGTATATTAAGGTAACTTGGCTGACAACCTTAGAACTCTAAAGGTGAAGGATTTTGAATGAACGGCTGAGACTGAAAGTATTAAATAGAGGATGTAAAGGGAGCTGCTGAAATAAGGGTCATTTCATAGGTGCAGTAGATTATGTAATTCGCAAGTTGATAATGTAAAGTGAACTTAAATGAAATGTACATGTATAGGACCTACAGTATAATGTTTGAAGTTCTAAAACAAAAGGCTCGTAATAGCCCCTGGGGTTTGTTCCTATTTGGGGTAGATTGTTTTCTAATGAGTTGTCAGTATCTGTTTTTGGAGAACTTAAGCACTGAAGATAAAATTGAAGGCTATTTCCAGGCTTCTTATCCTAGCAGCTCATAACAAATGGAGATAGTTGATGATTGAGGGTTGCTTGCTTGTCTGCCCTCTAAACTAATAACTTGAAGATCAGGCAACTAAAAGAAAAAGGATTTGTGTACTCTTAAAGTATGCCACATCCCCTTTAGTATCTCAAAGGTTTTGATTTTAAAAGTCATGTTGTGCTTCAAGAATTTATGCGCAATTTCAATTTTTAAATTATTTTGACTGCACAAATTTGCAAAGTTGTAAGAACGTAAAACTAGCTTTCTAATTAAACACAGTAAAAATATCAGTGCTCTCGCACAAAACGCTTCAAAACAAGGGATACATTAATGATCAACGAGAAGCAGAACTGTCAGTTAATTCTAAAACTACAAATATGCGATTCTTTATTCTGTACCAATTATCCTTTGACCCGAGACGCACAAATTTCTGCAGATTTAAGGCTAGCATGTTTTGGGGTGTTAAAGCCTGTTAGACTAATAATTTTTGTCTGACCATTTTCAAAGTTTGGTTTTTATAATTTAAAAAGTCCGAGTAGACGTCCAATTCTATTTCAACATACAATAATCTGATTTGTGCACATCACAACAATTGTTACCACAATTGTTCATGTAATGTTTTCTACCCACAACTGTAGTGTTCTTATCCCCAGCAAATTTCTGTTTTTGTAGTTCCACTTTCAAAACTGCATGTGCTTCTCAACTTTGTGCACCAAGTAAAACCCACAGTGTTGATTGCAGACAAAATTCGATTGTGGATGGAGTGGGAGATGTTATTTACACCATCTAGTGGCTATTTTGTTAACATCATTTTGAGTTTGCTTTCCAGCAAAGAATCAGCATGGAAAGATATGAAATATTTTGGGCTGAGAAATTCTTCTAGCCATATAACTTCATGTTCTGAATTATATCAGTTATTGTTATGTCAACTGTCACTTTTTGCTCTCTGATCTTAAAGATAAAATTATTTGTTCTACATAAATAACAGCAAAAAAAGAAAATTTATTGAAACAATTTGTTTTAACCAGGTTTAACGTTCAATTTAATTTGTTTTCTTCCCTAGGTTTTAAATATTCGGCTTATGTGGATAGTCTTCCTGTGAATGAACCTGTTTATTTTAAGTCTTTCAAATCTTCAGGACATTCCAAGGCCTTTGTCCAATTTCAGTATTCATTGTACTTCAGGCAGTTGTGATAGCTAATTTGCTGTCATGGTTGTGGCGCCTTTTTAACTTTTTATCAAGCTGTTTGACATGTTATGACACACCTCCATAGTCATCACATCCTAAAGTGTGATTTGAAACGAGACATTCTGGCCCAGAGATAGGGCCACTGTCACTGCACCACAAGAGCCTCATCGCCTTTGTGTTCACTAGTAATTTCAGACAATTAAAGACCATCTGTGCTACCAGCAGTAAAACAGTGATAATTCAACTACGTTCTCTCATCAGTTGGCAATCCCAAACCAATATAGTTGAATACTACAATAGTACTGAAGAGATGTGGATTTGATCAACTATGTGATCAGTGTATCTATTGTATGATTCATAGCTAGTCCACGGTAATTCAAATCTAATGCATCGTGCTTAAAAATAATTAAATCATTGATTTAAGTTTGAAATACGGCAAAGTATGGGTTTTGTGCTGAAATAATTAAATTATTTAATTATAAGCAAAAAACATTAAATTAAAAGAATATTTCCACAACAGAATGCCAAATCATAGCTTATTTAAATGCTGCTTGACCAATGTATGTATTTTGTTCAGGTGTTGAGCTTGCAGCTTGCGGATAGTGGGCAAGGAGAAGTGCCTCCTGACGATGGAAAACTGCATGGCAAACCAGATAAAACTCTGCGCTTTTCCCTCTGTAGTGATAATCTGGAGGGAATATCAGAAGGTGAGGCTTTTCTTGGGTTAATAAAGTACCTGCTTCCGTTTTGCTTCACTTGTAAAATTTTTCTGCTTGAAATCCTCCATAATTTTGCCTCAACATATCACAGCTTCCTCTTCCCCCCCATTATTGCCTTCCAACAATTGTTACTCTGAAGTTGACCTCTGTGTCCTCTCTCTTGGCTTGCCATTCTTGGCACAGCTTTCTATTACTAGTTCTTAAGTTCACAATTTTGTCCTAAGCTGCTCTTTTGCTGCCCTGCTCTCATGTTTGAATAATTTCATCAAAACGTATCTTCGTTCAAATCTTTTAGTAAAACAAATCAGCCACCTAAAGTTTTTCTGTCTCTTTCATTTACGTTTATCGTATACATTAAATTAACTGGCAATACTTCCACTAAACAGGACCTTCAAACCGCTCAAATTCCGTATCCTCACTCGACCTGGAAGGGGAATCAGTCTCTGAACTTGGAGCAGGACCTTCTGGAAGTAATGGTGTTGAAGCTTTACAGCTTTTGGAACATGAACAGGGTAAGTGAAACAGAATAGTAACAGAGCATTTTGAAAGCTCAATCAGCAAAACAATTGTAAATCGAAGAGTTGATTTATTTATTCTTGGTTCCTTAGTTTCTTGCACAGTATTTTACTAAGAATATAGAAAGGTACAACACAGGAATAGACTCTTCAACTCATCATATCTGTACCAACCATGATGCCATACTAAACTAATCCCATCTGCTTACACATGGTCTGTATCCCTCTATTCTCTGCCTGTTCACATGTCTGTCTAAATGCCTCTTAAGCATTGCTGTAGTATCTGCTTCTACCACCTTGTTCTCCCTCCACTCCTGCAGCGTGTTCCGTGCACCTACCGCTCTGTATAAACAGGTTTGTCTTGCATATCTCCTTTAAACTTTTCCCTCTCACCTTAAATCTATTTCCCCTGGTATTTGACATTTCCGTCCTGAGAGAGACTCCCAACTTTCTACTCTATCCATGCCTGTCATAATTTTATATATTTCTGTCACATCACCCCCTGAACCTCTTGACGCTTTTAACGAAAACAATCCGTTTGACCAACCTCCTCTTATAGCTACTAGACTCCAATCCAGGCAACGTCCTGCTAAACCTCTTTTGCATCCTCTCCAAAGTCTCCACCTCCTTCCAATTGTGTGGCATCTAGAACTGCATATGGTCCTCAAGTGTGATACAGTTGCAACTTGACTTGCCAACTTTTATACTCGGTGGTCTGACTTAACAAGACAGGTATGCCGTATACCCCCTTTAATACCTCATCCACTTGTGTTGCCACTTACAAGGAGTTATGGACTTGCACCCCAAGATCCCTCTGTATATCAATGCTCCTAAGGGTCCTGCCATTTACTGTATACTTTCTTCTTGCATTTGACCTCCCAAAACACATCACCTCACACTTGTCTGTATTAAATCCACGTAACTTTCCAATGGATCATTATCCTGCTATATCCTTGGACAACCTTAATCGATATTCACAATGCCACCAATTTTCATGTCTGCAAAATCAGATTACCTACATTTTCACCCAAAATATATATAACAAACAAGACAGGTCCCAGCATTGATTCTTGCTGAAAATCACTGGTCACAGAATTCTGGTCAGAAAAACTGTCTTTTATGATCAAGCCAATTTTGCATCCAACTTAACTTACTGTGGATCCCTTGAGACTTAATCTTATGGTTAGGGATCTTGTCAAATGCTTTAGTAACGTCAACATAGATAGTATCCACTGTCCTACCCTCAGCAGTCATCCTCATCACTTCCTTGAAAAATGTAATCAAATTTGTGAGACAAGACCTCCCCCTCTCACAGCCATGCTGACTATCCCAAGTAAGTTGATTATTTTCCAAATGAGTAAATCCTGGCCCTAAGAATCTTCTCCAGTAATTTCCCTACCACTGATGTAGGGCTCACTGGCCTTTAATTTCCCGAATTATCCCTGTTGCCTTCCTTATACGAACAAAATGTAATTTTATTTATTCATTTTGTAGGATGTGGGTGTTGCTGGCTGGCCAGCAATTTTATTGCCCATCCCTAGTTTCCCTTGAGTAGATGGTGGTGAGCTGCCTTCTTGAACCGCTGCATTCCACCTGCTGTGGTTTGACCCACAATGCCATTAGGGAGGGAATTCCAGGATTTTCACCCAGCGACAGTGAATGAACAGCAATTATATTTCTAACTCAGAATAGTGAGTGGCTCAGAGGGGAACTTGAAGGTGGTGTGTTCCCATATATCTACTCCTCTTGTCCTTTTAGATGGAAGTGGTCGTGGGTTTGGAAGGTGCAGTCTGAGGATCTTTGAATTTCTGCAGTGCATTTTGTAGATAGTACACACTGCTACAACTGAGCAATGGTGGTGGGAGGGAGTGGATGCTTGTGGATTTAGTGCCAATCAAGCAGGCTGCTTTGTCCTGGATGGTGTCAAGCTTCTTGAGTGTTGGGGCTACAGTCATCCCAGGCAAGTGGGGACTATTCCATCACACTTCTGACTTGTGCCTTGTAGATGGTGGACAGGAGTTGGGAAGTCTGGAGGTGTTACTTGCCACAGTATTCCTAGACTCTGACCTGCTCTTGTAGCCACTGTATTTGTGGTGAGTTCAGTGAGTTTCTGGTCAGTTATAACCCTCAGGTTGGTAACAGTGGGGGATTCAGTGATAGTAACACTATTGAATGTCAGGGCGTTGGTTAGATTGTCTCTAATTGGTGGTAATCATAGCCTGACATTTGTGTGGTGTGAGTGTTACTTGCCACTTATCAGCCCAAACCTAGATGTTGACCAGTTCTTGTTGCATTTGGACATGGACTGCTTCAGTATCTAAGGAGTTGCGAATGATGCTGACCATTGTGTAATTGTCGCTGAACATCCCCATTTCTGTCCTTGTGATGGAAGGAAGGTCATTGATGAAGCAGCTGAAGATGTTTGGTCTCGGACACTATACTAAGGAATCCCTGCATAAGTGTCCTGGAACTGAGATAACTGACCTCCAGCGGTCACGACCATCTTCCTATGTGCCAGATATGCCTCCAACCACTGGAAAGTTTGCCCCCAGATTCCCATTGATTCCAGTTTTGCCAGAGCTCTGATGCACATTGTCGAATGCAGCCTTGATATCAAGGGTTGTCAATTCCACCTCGCCTCTGGAATTCAGCTCTCTTGTCCATGTTTCAACCAAGGCTGAAATGAGGTCTGGCGCTGAATGATCCTGGCAAAACCCAAACTGGGGTTCACTGAGCAGGTGCAGCTTGGTAGCACTCTTGATGACATCTTCCATCACTTTACTGATGATCGAGAGTGGACTGATGGGGTGGTAATTGGCCGGGTTGGATTTGTCCTGCTTTGTGTGCAGGACATAATTGGTCAATTTTCTACATTGTCGAGTAGATGCTAGCATTGTAACTGTACTGAAACAGCTTGGCCAGGGGAGCAGCAAGTTCTGGAGTACTATTGCTGGAATGCTGTCAGGACCCTTAACCTTTGCAGTATCCAGTGCCTCCAACTGTTTCTTGATATCACGTGGACTGAATTGAATTAGCTGAAGACTGGTATCTGAAATGCTGGGGACCACTGGAGGAGGCCAAAATGGATCATCCACTTGATACTTCTGGCTGAAGATTGCTGTGAAAACTTCAGCCTTACTTTTTGCACTGATGTACTGGGCTCTTGAATCATTGAGGATGGGGATATTTGTGGAGCCTCCTCCAGTAGTCGTTTAATCGTCCACCAGTACTCACGAATGGATGTGGCAGGACTGTGGAGCTTAGATCTGATCCGTTGCCTTTGGGATTGCTTAGCTGCTGCTTATGTTGTTTGGTGTGCAAATAGTCCTGCTTGGTGGCTTATCCAAATTGACACCACATTTTCAGGAAACCTGAGGCTGCTCCTGGGCATGCCCTCCTGCACTCCATTGAACTGGGGTTGATCCCCTGGTTTGATGGTAATGGTTGAGTGGGGATATGCCAGGCCAGAGGTTACAGCTTCTGCTGCTTTTGATGGCCCACAGTGCCTCATGGATGCCCAGTCTTGAGTTGCTAGATCTGTGTGAAGTCTGTCCAATTTAGCATGGTGATAGTGCCACACAACACAATGAAGGTTATTCTCCAGTGAAGGCAGGACCTCACCTCCACAAGGACTGTGCAGTGGTCGTTCTTAGCAATACTGTCGTGGATGGGTGCATCTGCAGCTGGCAGATTGGTAAGGAGGAGTTTGTGTTTTTCCTTGTTGGTTCCCTGACCGCCTTCTGCAAATCCAGTCCAGCAACTATGTCCTTGAGCTGGTCAGGTCCTAATCAGTAGTACTGCTGCTGAGCCGCTCTTGGTGGTGGACATTGACATTCCCCCTCCCAGAATATGTTTTGTGCCCTTGCCATCCTCGGTGGCTCCTCCAAGTGTTGTTCAACATGGAGTACCCATTCATAGCTGAAGGAGGATGGTACGTGGTAATCAGCAGGAGGTGTCCTTGCCCATGGGGTTTGGAGTCAATGTTGAGGACTCCCAGGGCAACTCTCATTATATGCCACTATGCCGTCCTGTCCCACCAGCAGGGAAGACGCATCCAGGGATTGTGATGGTAATCTCTGGGACATTGTCTGTAAGGTTCATTCTGTGAGTAATACTATGTCAGACTGTTGTCTGTGAGAGACCTCTCCCAGTTTTGGCACTCGCCCCCACATGTGAGTAAGGAGGATTTTGCAGGGTCGACAGGGCTGTTTCTGCCTTTCTTTTCTGGTGCCTAGGTCGATGCCAGGTGATGCATCTAGTTCAATTCTTTTGAGACTTTGTTGCGATTGGTACAATTGAATGGCTTGTTCGGCCAATTCAGAGGGCAGTTGAGAGTCAAGCACAGTACTGTGTGTCTGCGGTTTACATATAGGCCAGACCAAATAAGGATGGCAGATTTCCTTCCCTGAAGGATTTGAGAACCAGATGGGTTTTTCTGACAACTGACAATGATTTCATGGTGATTAGCAGATTTTTAATTCCAAATTGAATTTGGTTTTTTTTATTGAATTCAGATTCCACCATCTGGTCTGAGATTCAAACCTTGGTTCCCAGAACATTACCTGGGTCTCTGGATTAATAGTCTAGCAATAATACCATTAGGCTATCGCCTTCCCGAGAATATTAGCTATTCTCCAGTCTTCTGGGACCTTGCCTGTGGCTAAAGAGGGTATAAAGATCACTGTCAAGGTCCCAACAGTCTCCTCTCTCAATTCCTTCAGTATCCTTGGATAGTTCCCATCAAGCCCAGGAACTTGCCTACCTTAATATTTTTCAAGACACCCAATACCACTATGTCCTTAATATTGACATGCCCTAGAATATCAATGCACCCTTCAAAAATCTTTGCATTATCCATGTCCTTTTCAGTGAATACCAACGTAAAGTACTCATTTAAGGGTTTTACCCACTTTCTCTGCGTAAATTCCCTCCTTTGTCGTTGAGTTGACCTACTCTTTCCCTAGCTACCCTCTTGCTCCTAATATACATATGAAATG